TAATGCGGCGTCACATCCACCCACCGCATTTAATGCGGTGCACATGCGAGTGATGGTGCCACCCCGATTGAGGTGACCCCTCAGCCGTTAGATTACTGACATGTGTACTCTCATCACATTTATTGCTGCTATAAATAGCAGCCCATATTCCTCTAGTAAAGGACCAGAACATCTCGAGTTCATTAATACAATCGCCTCTCTCTCTCTCTCTCGTACTTGTTTGCTCTGACTTCTCTCTAGGTTATTCTCATAATAACCCCTCGGATAAGCTACCCCCGGGTACACTGTCCATCACTGGTAATAGATGATACTCCATCGTTATATAAAGATCCCGCTTTGAATTGTACGAATATTATGTGAATAAATTTTCCCTTCAACTTCTTGAAATGTCACTTTTACGGAGAGATAAATTTTTTAATGTAGAATACATTCTTTTGACACTTTTGACACTGTTCATCACTTGTTTGCATTGTACTGTCATTATCATTTAAGTGTAGTGGAATAGATTGATATACAGAGTAGTCTTCCGGTCAGGTATACCTGACCGGAGCCCCGTCCGGCCTCCTCCATTTGGGGGCTTTTCCGGTGGTATTTGTTGCTCAAATTTTTTGTGTAGGTTCCTCATCAAGTCTAGTTCATCCATACCAAATTTCAGCCAAATATTCAATCGGGAAGGTCGTCAAATGATTTTTGCAAGTTAACTGGTCCGGAAAATACATATTCCGGACCAGTTAACTTGCAAAAATCATTTGACGACCTTCCCGATTGAATTTTTGGCTGAAATTTTGTATGGACGAACTAGACTTGATGAGGAATCGACACAAAAAATTTGAGCAAAAAATACCATCGGGAAGGCCCCCAAATGGAGGAGGCCGGACGGGGGGAGTGGTCCGGCCTGGCCGGACCTGAATATTACACCGGGAAGGCCCCCAAAAGGAGGAGGCCGGACGGCGGCTCCGGTCAGGTATACCTGACCGGAAGATTACTCATACACACAAATGTTCGTGTAAGGTATACCTGACAGGAACCGCCATCCGGCCTCCTCCTTTTGGGGGCCTTCCCGGTGGTATTTTTTGCTCAAATTTTTTGTGTATGTTCCTCATAAAGTCTAGTTCATCCATACCAAATTTCAGCAAAAAATTCAATCGGGAAGGTCGTCAAATGATTTTTCCAAGTTAACTGGTCCGGAATATGTATTTTCCGGACCAGTTAACTTGCAAAAATCATTTGACGACCTTCCCGATTGAATTTTTTTTCTGAAATTTGGTATGGATGAACTAGACTTGGTGAGGAACATACACGAAAAATTTGAGCAAAAAATATAGTTTGTCAAATAGTGAAGGAGAGTTTTATTTAGGGACACATAAATGGAAAATGGGAAATTTATTTAGAAACATAGAATTTTTCTTCCGGTGGTACATCACTACAAATAGATACACCATAGGAAAAAAACATCAAAAAGTTTATTAACCATTCCTACAAACGATTGTTTTGTATGATAGCTCAACGTTTATTTTTAATTTCAAATTTGAGAATTAGGGAAGTTCCAGGGTATTGTTTTAGAGGCCGTTTGGAACCACTGTTTTTCGGCTTATCAGACTTATCAACCAACTTTTTCATCAAACACGTAACTTTTGTTTTCGCGCGCTGAATTGTGTAATAAGCAGAAAAAGTAAGGTTGAAGTTACTTTTCTGGCTGTATTGGCTGAAATTATCGTAAATGACCATTTTAGCTATTATTACATATAATTTTTTTTCTTTATTTTATTAATATAATATATTTTAAAGATAATTTTTTTAATCAGCTGAATTAGCCAATGCAGTCATTTCAGCTAGAACTTTATAAATTTCAACAGAATCAGTCAAATCAGTCGATTTTCGTGTTACCAAACGGGCTCTTAATGTAAAACTTTCAAAAAATATAAAAGGTAAATCCTTTTCAAAACCTATTCTAGTCTTTTGTTTTTAGGTTGTTTGTCATTATCATAACATTTTCCAAAAGGTGTAGAATTTGGTTCTAGCCTCCTACATCTAGTTTAAGTGTTTGCGCTTTGTCCCTGCCCCAGTGTATATCGGCACATCCTGAATTGTTTTTAAAATTTTGGGTGATATAGACTTTGCACTCCATTTTGAAATTTTTTTATTTTGCATCCCAATACATGACATTTTGTGAAGAAAAATTTCTGAATGAGGTGCAAAGTCAAATGATTTTTAAGTGAAATGAGGTGCAAAATCAAATTTTTTTTAAACGGAGTGCAAAGTCTAATATAACTCAAAAAGTGGTGTGCAAAAGAAAATTCTCTCATAAATAAATCATATCTGAATTTTTTATTCAGATTTACCTTGTGTCGTTGCTTCGTTTGTTTTTTGGCTTTTGAGTTTTGAGCGAAAACGTCCATGCCAACTGTGCTGATAGGAGAATTGTTTAGGCAGCTCATCCCTGATTGCCTCATAGGCTGACTTTAAAGTAAACCTACCATCATCCTCAAGCTCCCAGAACAGACTACCATCCTCATTTAGTCCACACAGAGAGCTAGCTGACTCATCAATATAGCAAATTCTTCTCCAAATAGGCGAGTCAGTTATCTTAGGAGTCATATTCTGACCCCTTGGATACCTGACATGCATAAAGTTGGACCACATAGACCTCCCTTTCTTCCATTTCCACCAAAGTTTTAAGGAGAAAGCTTTTTCAATATCAGATAGACTCCTTATACCCAACCCCCCTTCATCAGTGGGAAAACAAAGGTGTGACCACCTAATCCAATGATATTTTTGTTTGTTATTAGAAGAACCCCATAGAAATCCTGCCATTTTACTTTCCAAAATGCTGATAATTTTCTTTGGTAATCTGTCTGCAGCTAAAATATGCAAAGGGATGGTGTTGAGCACGTGTCTGATCAGAATAAGCCTACCACCCATTGATAAGTTTTTTTGCATCCAAGTAGTAAGTTTGGAATCAAATTTTTTAACAATATCCATGCAGTACTTATCCCTATTAATTCCTTTATGCAGAGGGACCCCCAAGTATTTAATTGGAAGCTCAGACTCCCGCATCATAAGGAGATTGGAGATCGCCCCAGCTCTTGCCTTTCTCCCACATAAAAAAGAGCTCTTGAGTAGATTAATAGACTGGCCAGAAGCAAGCTGGTAAGATTTTAAAAAATTGCTGAAATTTATTAAAGACCTAGATTCCCCATTAAGGAAAACCAGAAGGTCATCAGCAAATCCCAGGTGGGAAACAGGCTGACCTACAGAGCCCAAATAATACTGCTTAATATGGCCATTGTTAATATGCCAATTTAACCCCCTAGAAAAGGCCTCAGAAGCCAAAATAAAAAGAAAAGGGGAGAGAGGGTCACCTTGTTTTACCCCTCTTTTAGGTTGAAAAAATCCTGTGGGGATTCCGTTAATTAAGATGGATAGGTAGGTGGACTGTAATGAATTCATCACAACCTGAGTAAATGCTTGAGAAAAGCCAAACTTGTGTAGAACACTGTTAAGAAATCTCCAGGAAACCTTGTCAAAAGCTTTGGCCATATCCAGCTTTACCACAACATTTGATCCCCTTATTTTTTTCTGTAATGCATGAATCATCTCCTGAGCAATTAAAATGTGATCAACCATATCTTTATTCCTCATAAAGCCTATTTGTTCCTGGGAGATGATTTTAGGTAATAACAAAGCCAGTCTATCAGCCATAACCTTAGTGCAGACCTTATACACGAAATTAGAGAGACAGATGGGCCGAAAATCACCAAAAGTATCAGGATTGTCAGATTTAGGAATTAAAGTTACCAAGCTACTGGACATACCTTTGGGAATAGATATGCCCATAAAAAACTCCTGAACAGCCCTAACCAAGTCTTTTCCAACAATAGGCCAGCATTTTCTGAAAAATTTACCATTAAATCCATCGGGTCCTGGAGCCCCATTTGGATTAAGACTCCAAACTGCATGCTTAACTTCTACTTCATCTGGCAATTTCATAAGAAGCAGATTGTCATCACTAGAAATAATCTGAGGTATGAATTGCAGGATTTCTTCAGCATCAATTTCAGGATCCACAGAGTAAAGTTTTGAGAAAAAGGATATAGCAGCATCTCCAATCTCAGAGAAAGAGGTAACCTTCTGCCCCTGATCATTGGTGATGGAGGAAATCGCTTGCTTTCTGTGTCTGATCTTAACATAGGAGTGGAAAAATTTAGAGTTAGAATCACCGTCTTTAAGCCACTATAAGCGGGCTTTCTGTTTCCAAAATTTTCTTTCCATCTTATGTTTAGTCATCAATAGTGCCCTCATGTGACTCCAGTGAGCTCTTCTTTCCTCACTAGGATTTAATTCAAAGTCTTTTTCAGCCTCTATCACTCTAGCTTCACACAATTTGATGTCATCAAAGATATTACCAAATGAAGTTTTATTCCAGAGCTTCAGATCCTTTTTAAGGCACTGCAATTTAAAGACCATCCCTCTCATTCCCCCTCCACTGGAACTACTACACCAGCTTCTCTGCACAACCTCCATAAAATTAGTGTGTTTAAGCCACATGTTTTGAAATTTAAATGATCTGGGCCCAAATTGATCCTCCATAAGACATTTGACCAGGATAGGACAGTGATCAGATGGTGTTCTGTCTAAACTGTCCACCTGAATGTTACTAAAAGAGTCATTCCAACTGGAGTTGATAAAGCATCTATCTAATTTCCTCCACACCCTACCGTTAGCTCTAACCCCTGACCAAGTGAAGAAAGGCCCTGAGCTATTAGGTTCAATAAAGTCACAGGCTGAGATGCAATCAGAAAAGTCCATAATACTTCTAAGATTAGGCATAGCTCTTCCATTATGCTCATTATGGGCTGCAATGGCATTAAAATCCCCCCCAATCAACCAGGGCATCTGAATTCCATTAGACAAAGACACCAGAGAGTCCCAAAGCTCCCTCCTGATAACAGTATTATGATTTCCATAAACCATAGTGATCCAGCCCTCAAAGTTGCACTTTGAAATCTTCATATGAATAAATTGTGAATGCCAAGTAACATCAGAGATATTTACATCATTTGAGTCCCAAAAGACCCAGATTTTATTAATAGGAGAAGAAAGAACCTCAGAAAAACCAAAATCATGCCTAAAAGAATCAGCTTTAGAAAAATGAGAAATAGGTTCAATAACAGCTAGGATCTGAACCTTCCATTGCCTGATTAAACAAGATAATCTAGCCCTGGCAGATTCAATACCCCGTACATTCCAGAATAGGCAATTCATTTAGGTAGGAGTGATGAAATTTGAGAAGCCTGTTTACTGATACTTAAATCAGAAACTGACCCAACTGACCCATCTTTCTTTTTTGCAGCATTCCTTGTGATCCGAGGAACAGCCCCAAGACCCTCTAAAGCGTCCTTCTTCCTGTTTCTCCTGCTGATAACTTTGGTAAACTCGCCCTCTTCAAGCTCAAAAGCCTCAGGCTGATTCAACTGGACCATAACATCGTCTTCATGGACAGGCAGGAATGCCTCAGGTTGGTTTGGCACAGAAACACCACCCCTGCCGACCTGAGTGTTTGGCTAAGGCAAGGGTGCATTCCCAGACTCCTCACAATCCACAGAGAGAGATGAGGTTTCCTGCATAGCTAATCTAGCAGCCATAGCATCAACTTTGGCCACAATATCACTCCAATTTACCTCCCAATTATGTAAGGCCTTACAATCCTTATTAGATTCACCATCTGAAGCATACTCTTTTGATGCTACAACCTGGTCAAACTCCATTATCTTGTTTAACTCCTTAAGCTGAAAATCATCTTTGATATGGCTAACATTTTTGTTTTGCAGTAATCCAGGGAGCGGTTTATGAAGTAGCATCCTTATCTCATGCAGGTCTAACCCCCCTGACTCTGGATTAGCCTGATTATGAGAACCAGAAACACCATCAACTGGCTTTGGGACGTCAGATCTTCCTTCATGAAATATTTCTTCAGTTTCAGATACTTCATCCCAATCAGCATATGTCACCTGGGGGACTGGCACTGAAGTAGATGGTTTTGAGGAGGATGGCTTTAAAGAGGCTGGCTGATCAACAACTATCAGAGCCTTGCTTAAATTCCTTTCATCCTTATTACTTGCCTTGCAAATAGTCTTGTCAGTGATAATAGCTTTACCTTTCTCAGCCGCTGTAAATTTTACTTGTTTGGATTGCTGACTTGATAAAACTTTATTTTTCTCCACCCATTTGTCCCTGGGCAAATTGGAGACCTTAGGTACATCTGGGTTTTTTTTAGGACAATTACCAAACGAATGTCCCAGGTGCAAGCAGTGTGAGCAGTATTCCGGGCGCTGCTCATATATAACTGGTTGCATAAAGCCAAGAGAACCACAATTTATCCATACCTTGGAAGGCATATCCTTCGTAACATCAATTTCAACGCAAACACGGGCTACTGAAGGCCTAGATAAGTTTGCTGTAGCAGCATCAATCTTTAGGGGGTTACCTAGTAGTCCAGCAATGTCAAATAGCGCCCTTTTATCCTGAAGGTGTAAGGGCAAGCCTTCAAAGCTGATCCAAACCGGAACCACCGGAGACTCAACATTCGGGCGAAAATCCGGAGTCCACTTCGTAACACGCATCACATAACCTTGAATAGTCCAACTCTGACGGTTCCAACATCTGAAATAATCTTCCTCCGCATCAAATCTAATAACAATATGCTTTCGTTCCATAACACCTAGATGAAAAGAACCCTTAAAACCAATGATCTCAAAAGCTTTACGAATATTCTCCAAACTGGGCCTTCCACGATAAAAGTAGCCAATCAGCGTATTTTTATGCCTTTCAGCCAGGATTGCAACATCACTATCCGGGAAGCTGATGGCAGGCACTCCTTTGTGACGAGAAGGGGTTTTAGCCGATAGTAGTCCACCAGGTTTACTGGCCACCACGTCGGCAAATGATTTCCTTGACCAAACGTTGGGAGTTGGTGTAGGCGGCTGAGCCGCCGTGGGTGACACCATCCGACGCACAAGAGCTCTCAAGGGTTTTCACGTATTAGTATATTAGTATGTATATAATACTCATATGTGCTCTGCTTTGTGGTTTTGTAAAGATATTACTCTATAATCTTTCAGAGTATATTAAGTTCTTAACTTTAAATGCATTACTCAATTCTGTCAATCTTGTGTTTTATAAATATTAAAGATATTACTCTGTTTGACCCAACTAGAGTAAAACATGGCTGTTAACATAGGGCTGAGTATAACATGTTTTTCAAATTTGATAACCACCTTTTACAACACACAAGATGACAAACACAGATGAAAAACTAAAAGAACATGATAAACACACAACCAGCTTTCTGTTTTTCCATTATTGAGCACCCATATTCGAGTGTTTGGCCCATAAATATATTATATATGTACTCTACTTTGTGGTTTTCCAAAGATGTTTTCCAGTGTATTAATTATTAAATAATTCCAGCTTTGTACTTTTCCAGGATATGGAAGGTGGAACAAGTGCTGCAGGTGGTGCTGAAAGTGAAAACTCTACAAAAAAGACCCAGCTTGGAAACGCAATTACTTGGCTAACAAAAAAGATCCTAATTTTTGTGAATCATGACTTTATTTTGAGCAAAGTGGAAGGCGGGTATTCGTGTGGATGAGTGATATCGTATTATCTTTTCCCCTCTTTTTTTTTTTCTTTTTTTTCTTTTTTTTTTTCTTTTTTTTTTGTCTTTTTTCTTTTTTTCTTGTTTGTTTTTTATCCTTTTTTGCTTATATATATAAACATTATTTTTATGCTTTTTATTTTATCATTTTTGGGTATATTCATCTCTTTTTATATTATCTTTTCCATAATAGCTTATCTTTTTTATCTTTATTTTCTTACTCTTCCTTTTGGTGGTGATATCATGTATCGATTCATGTTAGCCGACCCCAATATCTTTTGGGACTAAGGCTTGGATGTTGTTGTTGTTGTTGCATGACTTTATTTTGATGAATCCTAGCTTTTTTATGCATTTGGTTCAATATGATGTTACATACATCATATTTGGTAATTATAGAACAGTATATGTGATTTTATCTAAGTAGTGCGATTCACCCGAGTCAGGCGAGCGCTTTTTTGCGCCTTGCGCCTCAGGCGCTGGGAATACCCTATCGCCTTGAGTGCGCCTCACGACTTTGACTACCTTGGTCCAGATTATTATTGTAGAATCCATAAAAGTAGGGATTATTCTTGTGAATTTCGTCAAATAATAATAAATACTCCATGATGAGCACCATACATTGAGGATATGAAAGCGTTCATCTTCATTAGGGGTTGTGACTTCAATCTCAGCATCAAAACGCCCAGATCTTCTTAGAGCCGGGTCGAGTGTGTCAACCCTGAACATTAATCACAGAAAACATTCATCTTAAAAGACTTGCAACCAACAATCTATATGGTATTAAAAATAAACATTTAAAAGACAGTATACCAATTACATATGGCTTAATTTGATTCAGATATCATAGTATGGTTGAAAAATTTAACAGTTTTTTATTCAAAAAGAGATTGTTTATCCTTCACCACAGTGACAAAAAAAACTTACTGATTTATTAAAATAAAAAACGGATGTATGGTTGTAAATTAAAAATGGTGTATATTATTAGCTCAGACACTACAGTATGGTTGTAAAAATCAACAGTTTGTTCGATTCAAAAAGCGACTATTTATCCCTCACCATAGAGAGAAAAACTTAAGTAATCCCACCCTCCCTGCCTGCCATGAATAAAACATATTAAAGTTGTATTTCTTTGGGTATGGGTTCATGGCATATCAACATCTTTGTAGTTAAAATAATATAAACATATAAAGGTTGGATTTCTATGAGTACGGGTTTATTCCATATCAATAATTTATAGTGATTGTAAAATAACAAAATAGGTGATACCCTTGAAAGCAACACCACCAAATTACTATTGACCTTCAATAATAAAAGATAGAATAATAATGCTTTCTTTTGCAATCCACATGTCAAAAAAATATCCTAAATTGGAATAGTATCGGGGGGTTTGATTTGCCAAATTGCCATTACAGGTTACTTGAGAGAATGATGGAAAAAAAGGGTTTCTCCGTCAAGAGTAAATCGCATTTACTAATATATGGAACTTAAAAGTAAATAAAAATAACCAAAATGACCTCTTTGTACTTTATTTGAATACAACACAAGAAAAAATGGAAACCAAAAAGTTACTTCCCTGAAACATCAGTAGAACCCACCTATTAGTTGATGCCACTACAACAACATGTAATCCAGATGTTGAAACGGACTTATTAGAGTCCATCAACATAAAGAGCTGAGAAGCTACACGTACATCTTGTTCTCTTCTGCAATAGCAAACTCACCAAGTATGTTGAATGAAATATGAATATGAAAGTATTATGTGCAAGTGCAATAATCTATGAAGCACAGAAACTTCCAATGGCTCATGCTTCCCCGCTCCGCAAACTGGAAAGCGTATCAAAAACTCCAGAACTTCAAATTCCAGTTTGAGGGGTGTTTCAATAACTAAGAAAAATTGGAAAGCTTGTTTCCCAAAATAATAACTGTTAGAGATATTTTCATTATATTGTGATCAATGTTTCTTAGCTATTTATATTTAGCATCTTAATTTAATAGATTAGCTAGAATAATGAATAGGCCTTTTAAGGCAATTTGTAATAAAAGGTTTTATACCTTTTTAGGTATGGGCCTCCTAGAAAAAGGAGCCCAAATGATTGTAAAACCTACCTTTCCCGTCAGGCTATATATATGCCTTAAGGGAAAGGCTAGGTTAAGCTTTTCGTAACATTCCTGTGCAGCAGTGCCTATATCGGTGATAGAAGTTTTACGCTAAATTGTTCATCATTCTGTAAACTTCATTCATCGTTCAATGGAAAGCTTCATTCCCAGATCTATCTTCCATACATACATATTCTAGACTAGAAAACAGGGACCTAACATCTGGTATCAGAGCCGGAGCTGATCGATCGATTGAAGGCTGGAAAAGCTTCTGCGCGATTCTTCATCGGCGAAGATTTTGCACTTGAGCGATTTCTGGCTCTATTTTTGTTGTTGTTTTTGCAGGAAATGGCTTGAAGGAAAAGGTTTCTACTGTTGCTAGGATCATTCCTGGAGAAAATCTCGATCTGAAATTTGGCGTACAGGTTCAGCCAGATTTGAGCGATCCTGCATTTTCGCGCAACTCGCTGAAAAAGAAGAACAGGTTCGCGCAACTGAGCATCTGAGCGATTTCGAGCTTCGCGCAACAATACTTGCGTGATCTCACTCTAGCGCCATCCTCCTGCGCGATTTCCACTTCGCGCAAGTACTCCTGCGCGATTCAGGACTTGCGCCATTTAGAGATTTGAGCGATCTTGTCCTTGCGCGATTAGGAGTTGAGCGATATTCCTCTTGTTGAGCGATCTTTTAGCATGTTGAGCGATCTTTTTACAGGTTGAGAGATTTGTAGTTGAGCAATCTTATACTTGAGCGTTCCTTTAAGTGTTGAGCGATCCTTTTTAAGTTGAGAGATCTTTTGTAAAGTTGAGAGATTGTTTGTAGAGTTGAGCGATCTTTTATTTAGAGCTGAGCGATCTTTTGAAAAAGTTGAGCGATCTTTTTGAGAGTTGAGCGATCTTTTGTAAAAAGTTGAGCGATCTTTCAAAAGTTGAGCGATCTTTCAAAAGTTGAGCGATCCTTCTACAACTTGGAGCAATCTTTCAATACCTTGCGCGATTTTGACCTGTACTGTACAAGAACCTTCTGCCTGAATTATCAAACAACTGAACAGGACCCCTTTAATCAACTGATCAGCCCGATCAATATTAACATGGACGCATTATCAATCGGAAATGATACAAGACCCCCAATCCTGCGAAGGGGTGAGTACAACGTATGGAAGAACCGATTTCTGAACTTTCTTGAGAGCAAGGACCAATCCTCAGGTCTTCTAGACTCTATCACAAATGGACCTGCACAATTGATGATAGCAGTTGAGAGAGATAATGGAAACAACCCACCTGTTGAGATTGAGTGGAGACCCAAGACTGTTGATGAATATGATGACGAGGACAGAGCTAGACTCCGGGCAGATCTCATTGCCAAGACCTATCTACTGCAAGCCATCCCGAACGACATCTACATGCAGATTGACAGCATGTCAACCGCAAAAGAGATGTGGGATGAGATCTTCAAGATCATGCAAGGCACAGAGATAGGAGTAAAGGCGAAGAAAGCTAGCACATTCACTGCTTACGACTCATTCAAAGCCAAGCTCGGAGAATCACTTGAAGACACCTACCTCAGATTCCTGCAATTGATAAATGAGATGAGAAAGATTGGCGTGCACAAGTCAAACATGGAACTGAACGTGAGATTCCTATCTTCTCTTGGAGCTGACTGGAAGAAGCTGAGCTCACAGATAAGGCACACGAAAGACCTTGATGAAATGGACATCCATGCTGTGTACAATACACTTGACCAGTATGCTGAAGATTTTTCTGACCTCGTGGTCGCCTCTGTGACAGCTGATAAAGGGAAGGGAGCTGTGGACAAGCTTGCTGACACCCTTGCCCTGATGCTTGACAAGCCATCGAAGTCTGGCTCCAAGAAGGATAAGATGATAGTTGAAGAAAGTGAAAGTTCTGACAGTGACATTGGATTTAAGAATGATTCAGATGATGATGAGATGCATGATTTTCAGAGGCAGATAGCCCTTCTTACTTCGAGGTTCAACAATCATATGCAGATGAAGAAGAACTCCTCTAACAACAGGCTCCGCAAGTCCTCTACCAGCAACAGCAAAAGAAAAGAGCGATCTTTTGATTCTTCTGAGAATACTGTTGCTGAGGATGCTCCAAAGTGCTTCAATTGTGGGAAGACTGGACATCTGATGAAGGACTGCAGGATGCCTAAGAGGAAGAAGGATGCTGAGTACTACAAGCAGAAGATGTACCTGAACAAGAAGAAGATGTTGCTGGCTATGGAAGAAAACAAGGAAAAGAGTGCTCTCATGGCTGAAAAAGACCACTGGATGGATGATTCTGATGAAGAAGAGAATCTGGCCTTGATGGCAGTTGTTGAAGAAGGAGAGAAAGAGAAAGATGCTGATGAGGAAGGAAAGATGAAGTCAACTCCTGCTGCTGAAGAAAAGAAGGAGAAAGACAAAGCTGAGGAGAAGAAGAACCTGCCTACTGCAACCAATGCTGATGTAGCAACTGCCCTGACTGCTGAAAACAGAAATGCTGACAATGAAGTAAGTACTTCTGATCCATCTATTCATACTTGCTCTAGAACAGATATGCATGATAAATTTAAGGAGCTAGAGGTGAATTACAAACGGTTGTATGAGGTATATAATCAACTGCGTGAAAAACAGACATGCTCAAACATTAAGATAACCAATTCAGAGAAAACAATCACTAAACTCACAACTGAGAATAAGCGACTTAGTGCTAGTGAGAAAGAGTTGACAGAGAAACTTAGAACAACTGAAAAGGAAAGAATTAGGCTTTTTGGTGTAAATAACTTGCTAATGGAAAGAAGGGGTGCTCTGTATACTAAAATCAAAGAACTTGAGGATCTGTTAGCCAAAAGGGACCAAACAGATCAGACTATTTTCCTTAACCAGCCTAAGGACACTCGTTTCTATAATGCCAAAGAAGGCTTGGGCTTGACCAATCCTCAGAACCTGAAAAAGGTCAACTGTAAACAACTCTATGATGTTAGATACATGAAAATAGGATTGACCAAACTCATGGCCTTCACTGGTAATGAAGAAACGAATGCCCTTGAGGATGAAAAGAGAAAGACAAAGGCTGGTGTCGAGGTTCCTTTTGACTACACAGAGTTAAACAAGAGCTACAAAACCAAAGCACTCCCTTTGACCCCTGCTGAAGAAATCTTGACCTATCCTCCTGATAATGAAGCTGAGAAAGACGGAGAGGAGGCTTCCACATCTGAACCAATTGAGAAACCAGCTTACATTCCACCATTGGTGAGAAAGTTTGCTGAGTTAAAAGACTCTTTTGAAAAAGAAAAGCAGGTTTTAGAAAAAGAAAAGGATGAACTTTTAAAAGAAATAACCTCTTTGAAAACCGCCTCTCAGTCTAACACAGCTTCTCAACCCTCTTCCCCTTCTACTTCTGAAAACACTTCTGAAAATTCAAGCGATAGTTTTAAGACTTCTCCTTCTCACCCCAAGTCTCATTCTCCGACAGGGAAAGATGTGAAGAAGAGAGTCGAGAGGAAAGGAGAGTGGATTGAAGACAAAATAAGAAGGAAGAAGAGAGAAGAAGAGTCGAGATTAAGCAATAAGAGTCAGCGGTCGAGCGCCATTTTTTATGATAAGAATAAGTCTAGTTCTAGCATTAGTGAGCCATCTACTAGTTATGCTAAGAGAGTGGCTCCTAAGTCTTCTAGTTCTAAGATTTCTGTCTCGAATCGCTGTACTAAATGTGTTTCTCTGGATTGTGTTAAATTAATGAAATGTTGTTGTTATAAGTCTGTTCCTTCTTGCAAAGCGAAAGATCCTGTGATTGTTGATAATGTTGTGAATAAGCCCAAGATTGATAGGGTGAATGTTGAGAGTGAGGTCAAATTGCCATTTTTAAGGTATCCTCTCAAGATTCACTCAGTCAAACATCTGAAAAGGCTATCATGTGAACCAATTTTGAAAGATCATTTATCTGAACAATCACTTAGGACAAATGAAAGTTCCCTCGCTCCAAAAATCGTTCAAATAAAACAAAAATGGGTTCCTAAGGCTGAAGCAGAAAAATTAAAAATGGAAAACTCTTCTCAATCAGCCAGCCTAGGATCCCAAATCAAAAAGAAGTTGAAACAATTGCTCACTGTTGATAAGGAAGGACCCATCTGGCGATGGGTACCTAAGCGAAACTAATCTGTTTTGCAGGTCAGTCATGTGTGGCATCTTGATTCGGGTTGCTCGTCACACATGACTGGACAGATTGAACTACTGAGCAACTATTCTGAAAGGTTTGGAGGAAATGTGAGGTTTGGGAACAATGCTTCATCGCCCATACTCGGGATAGGAGATGTCATCTGTGAGAGCGTCACAATCAGAAATGTGTCGTATGTGCAGGGACTGAAGCACAACTTGCTTAGCATTGGCCAATTTTGTGACAATGGAATGGAAGTGAGATTCCATGCTAGGCAATGTTGTGTGATGGATATGGGTGGGACACCATTATTAAGGTGTCAGAGGAAAACCAATCTCTACACCATTGATCTCAAATCGGTACGATCCCCCATATCCATCTGTCTCCTGTCCAAAGCATCTGAAGAACAAAGCAGCCTATGGCACAGACGTCTCTCACACTTGAAT